GATCCTTTGATAGATCAAAATAAATTTGATACTGGTTACACGTACGACGATATGCACGTGAACGTGCCATCGACGTTCAGGGAACTTCCTGGTCAAATGGCGATTCTTCACGGATTGACTCACGAGCACAGCGAAATGTACAAGGGGAAAGGAGCTCAGAACGTAACGAACTGTGTTCTGGCTATCGCTATGAAGAAGGTTCATCCTGTGAAAACTTGGCTGAGACCGAAGTTGGACGAAATATTGGAGTTGGGCGATGCTCTGTATGCTGAAGTGAAGTCTGCTAAACCAATGATGAAAAACATGACGGCTCCTGACTTGAACGATGTAAAAATCGAGGTCGAAGATAGAAAGTTGGTTATAGACGTGGATTTAATTACAGTCACTGGAACGATCTCTTCGAAGATACCGACTGTGTTGAATCTGAAACAGGCTTTGGAAGAATTCTTCCTGGTTAATAAGGAAGGAGTGATCGAATCTTCTTCCATGTCCGTGGCGGTTTGGAGTAAGGACGATTGTTTCTACATGTTCGATCCTCGTCAGTGTGATATGGTTGGAGTGAGAATTCGAGATGAAAAGGGTGGAAAAGGCGCCAAGGCTGAGAATTCTCAAAGAAGAAAGGGGAACTGTTGCGTGATAAGATTCCCCAATACCGACGCGTTGGCTGGCTTGTTCATGAAAAACTTGGAACACGCGAAGAAGAACGATCGTTTCACCATCAGACACATCACGATTCCTGACGATGTTCCTGGGACCAGACCTTGGTACGATTTCCAGCCAGGAACAGCAGGAGAAACGTGGGTTCTTCAAGGAACTATATCGAACGAGGACGAAGAATTCGAGGACGATAGTCGGGGAATTCAGGGACTGGCCATTCCGGTGATAGCTTTAATTAGTGCTAGAGAAACACCGCCGCCGAAATGGTCTGACGAGACTATTGATACCATAGTTAGAGAAGGAGACGCTTATTACAATTGGTGTAATCCAATCGTGGAAGTTGGCGAGGACGTTGAACAATATTTCTTCGTTTCGAACTTGAAGAAGAATTTATACTTCAAAAACAGAAAGGTGAAGATCGACGTGGAGGAAGGGACTATTACCGGAGACGTGACTTCGCCGTCTGACAGCGATATCCCAAATTTGGTCACCGCTTTGAAGCAATTTTTCGAAGAGCATCAATATGGAATCGTCGAGTTGAAGAACTTACACGTGGCGGTGTGGAAGGTCGAGGAAGAAGTTAAAGAAAAGGACGAAATGGTACCACAGAACGTGTACTACTGTTTCGATGCTAATCCTCGAAACAAGGAGGGTTTATGGTTGGTGGACGAAGAGGAAGCAACTGCAGCCTGTGTAATTCGAACTTTAGACCTGTCTGTCTTGGCCAGTATAATCGAAACGAATGCAGGTCAGGATCCAGAGACCAGCAACGAATTCTCCATTCATAGTATGAAGGTTATTTCTATCGGTCAAGAAATGAGCGAGGAGGAAATCGAAGCGGATAAACAGATCCCGGTGAAGCCTGATTTGAACAATTACTTGAACATGGGCGAGAATGGGGCTATTTTATTGGGAAGCTTTAACCAAGGTAACGAGGTGATGTTTAAGAAAAATACGAGGGACAAACAGCAGGCTGGAAGTGCCTTGGCGGCTTTGGGAATGACCAAACTATATAATCCTCATTTATGGTACAGAGAAGTAGTGGACGATATACTTAAAATAGGTGATAAGATTACTGCAGACAATTTGGAGAATCTTCCAGAAGCAGAGGAAGAAGAGACACCAAGGCCTTACCTAATCCCCAGCGAAATTAGCGAAGATTTCGCCGTTGGAGTAAATAGAATATACGTTGATCTCGAGGAAGAAGCTATCACTGGCAAGATGACTGATTTGCAGTCACAGCTGAACACTTTCTTTGAAACGAACGTTATGGGGATATTTAGGCAAGATCACGTAATGATGCCTGTTTGGAGGGAAGGTGACGTGTTCTTCACGGTGGATCCCAAGGGAAGAGACAGTCGAGGAGAGCCTCGAGAGAAAGATGGTGCAGCTGCTGTAATGTGGTTCACTGACATCGAATCGCTAGCCAACGCGATTACAGCAGTCGCCACCGGCGAGGATTTCAATATGGACGTGGTTAATTTGGACAACGCTTACGAAACACGTGTGGCTGAAGGGGAACGTCCAGCGAAGCCCAGTTCCGGTGACAATCCATGGTACAACTTCCCGAAAATGACAGAAGGTGTATGGAGCATCGATGGCACGGTTGCTATGGACGACATGAAGTTCGAGAAAGTCAATCGAAATAATCAGACAGCTGCTATTGCCGTGATGGCTATCGTGTTCGCGAAAGTATACGAACCTAGGTATTGGACGCAAGCTGTGCTGGATGAGGTTATAGTGACCGGAGATAAGCTACATTCGAAATGCGTAGAGAGACTTGGAGAGGGTACCATTCCGAGGATCAACGATATTATGACGGAGTTCTTCCTTTCGACTCGTCGAATCAATTTGAGTATCAAAGATTGCGTCGAGGCTGGAAGTCTAACAGCCAAACCACCTAAAGTCCAGGACTTGAAGACCGGGATAACTAATTTCTTTTCTAGATACAACTCGGGCGCACTGACCATCAGTCCAAATAGAAATATCGCTGTTTGGAAATTTAACAATGATTACTACGCTCTGATACCAGATTGGGCGACTACCACAGGCGGGGAAACGTTAGTGAAGCCGAAGATCTTGCGTTTTACCAATATCGCTACTCTTATAGAGTACCTTCAGGACTTTTTAGGCAACGAAGGAGATTACGAAATGATTGCCATTGACATAGTGAATTTGAACAAGCTTCCACCATGGAAGTTCGACCCCAGTTCTGCTGTTCGTCCTTCGAATCTGCCACCTTTGAACGCCTACAGAAGAGTTCGTGGCGAAGCTCGAGCGATCTTAAGAGGACACTATCATCAGGGTGATGAGATCTTCCCCGAACAACTGAGAAACAAACAGGGAGCCGCGAATTGCGTCGTCGCTCTTGGAATGTCTGTAGTGAAGAATCCAGTTACTTGGACGAAGAAGACCATGGATGAGATCCTAGCCATTGGTACCAATGTCCATAGGGAGACGCAGAAAGCGAAACCAACGATAGTTCGCGTGAAGCCGAAAGACATTATCAGAGTGTTCTACGTAGGAGTTAATATCTTAACTGCCGACATAGAGTCAGGAACCGTGGCTGGTATAGTCGCGATTGCCCCGCCAGATCCCGAGGACAAGAAGAAGAAGAAAGCGAAACGAGCGAAACGAGCAAGGACCAGAAGAGCGAGGACCAGAAGACCTGAAAGGATTCGAGCTCCACCACCGCCACCGATTCTCCTTGAACAAGGTATTCCTTTATTTTTCGAGAAGAACCGTGCCGGAATTTTGGTCACTGATCGTGGAGCAGTAGCCATTTGGAAAGACATGGGCGTTTATTTTATGTACGATCCCCTGGCACGAAGCGACCAAGGCTTGCCAGACTTCTATGGAACCTCTTGCGTCATGTGGTTCGCCTGTCTGGAACCGCTTTACGAAGTTTTGTTCGCTAATATCGACGAGCAGGAGAAATACGGACGATACGAGATTTGCCGAGTTATTATCAGGACCGCCATGATCGAACCTTTGCCTTGTCCAGCTGGTTTTAGACCTTATTTCGATTGCACAGCTCCACCGATCCCTGTCATACCGATGGTAGGAGCGAAGAAGAACACCACATTGGACGTGGAGACAATCACGGAGTATAACATCGTGAACGAAGAACTTAGCATCCTTCTTGGTACCCTGCACATGCATCATAGAATTTGGCGCACAAACACAAGAGGATTTCAAAGTACGGCGATCGCTGCCGTGGCTATCGTGGTCGGTCTCCTTCACGTGCCTTCTACTTGGACGCCTGAATTGATCGACGCAATTTTGAGATACGGAGATCTGTTGCACTCGGACAGCGTACGTGCCACTCTCTCAGGCAACAGGACTTTATCTCCCAGCGAATTGCTAACCGTCTTCATCGTTGGCGATTTTAGAGCCACGATACACATTCACAATCACACTGCAGCTGGATTGCTCCACACCTTCGATTTGTCCGAATCTTTGGCCATGTTCTTCCGATCGAACTGCGCTGGCATTCTTCACACGAATAACATGGCAGTCGCTGTGATGCAGCATTACGGCAAGTTTTACCTGTTTGATCCTTGCGCCAGAAATGACCAAGGTAGACCTAGCTTTGACGGCGCGGCTTGCGTGATGAAGTGTGAGAGTATTATGAAGATGGCCAAGGTGTTTGTAACCAATTGCAACTTGAAAACGCCGAATGTGTACACCTTAAACGCCGTGAACGTGCTGAGTTTGTACTTCTTCTCGGACGCGAAGACGCAATGTCCGCCCAAGTGTATCCAGTGATCAGAATTACTTATCTTTGTCCCGTTTCAAATGAGAAATTTGGTTCGGATGTTGTATTGTAACAATGCATCGGTATGTCATCCAAATGTTTTGAATTCATTTATGTTTGGAAGATGTTATATTTCGAATAAACTAAATTGATTGACGCCTTATTTATTAACTCGGTAATTGAAAGTAGTAGTTAGGAAAGCATCGAACGATAATTAATGTAAAACGATGACGAGGTATTTGTCGAAGAAAAACGAACCCTCAGGAGACTAATACTTTTTATTTAACTTTCGTCTCTTGATTTCCTACCAGCTGTAGCAAAATTGTACCCTGTTACGTATTTTAAACCGGTCCTTTGTTCGAGAATCAATTGAACTGTTCGTCATTATTATGAAACTCAGCCTCGATCAGAAGCGTAACGAATAATAACATACTTGGATACTCTCAGAATTCTAACTCGTATCCAAGTGAGTCAAAATTTCTTGAATTTCATTATCGTATCGATTTCGAACGTGAAGAACGGGCAAGCAGAGGTGGAAAGAAAGAAAGAAAGAGAAACAGATAATAAATCGATGCGGTCAACAACATTCTCAAATTGCTAATTTTATTTATAGGTTTCTTTATGACACAAATCACTTTTAGCATCTACAATGAGTAGGAGTACAAGCTATACGAGAATGAATTTGATACAGATCACTTATTTAATGTAAATACAATGTATTCTCTTCAATTACACGCTATATAAACTAGATACTTAGAAAACACTGTACAACGCAGCTGAAAACTGTCTGTGATACTTTACAATATTTTACAAGCACTCCTCGAAGCGAGACGAGCCTAACCGCGCGTCCTGAATCCCCTTCCCTTTTCTCACCGTGAAAAGAGACGAGTCACGATTCATAATCGGCCACGGTTAGGGCGTTTCCCGAGTGACTTTTCGCATGACGTTTCTCACGTGGTCTGTAGGCCGTGTTTGTTAGCGGATCCCGGAAGCTACTCCACATCTGCCACGCTTTTGTCTATGATTCTTCCGTTCCAATCGTCAAAATCGTCTCCCCAAATCCTTTCCTTCTCATTTATTCTTATTCTCACTTATTCTAAAAGATTATCATGAGGAATAGCTTCCTTATCCCTGACCACTCGTTGGAGGCCACGACGGCCCCCTCGTGACGTCGTCTCGTTCCTCGCAAAGTGAATTTTAACGCCGAGTTTCGCAGGCAGAACCCGAATGAACGATAGACTCGAATGAATGATAGACTCTGGTGGGTTGGGTTTTTGACTTGTCGAAAATGATCGTCCTGGCCTCCGAGGCGGAGGATTTTCAGAGGATTCGTTCGCGTACGATGAACACAGTTGTGATCATGCAATATGTATTCACGGATATTTCTCGATCGGATTATTTATGGTGTCGCCAGGTAAACTGAACTATCGTCGCGTGACTAACGAATCCTCGCGTGAGATGTACAGTAGCCAGGACATTCTGTCACAGTTAGAAGGATAATTCTCTCTCGTTGAGACGGGGAGAGGAAATGCGTTTAAATGCATGTCTATCCGACGTGGAAACGAGCATCTTTGTTCGTGGGATGATCTCTGCCCTCGCAACTCGGTTTTTCGCGCACATCAGTTATCGTCTCATGCACGCGCGCACGCACACATTACACGCGATATACACACGGAATAATACATCGCACGGATTTAACGAGTCTTTTTCTTTGTGGCTAACGTCTGTCAGTACAATCGGTAGTCCTTTTCTCGCTCGCTTTTTCTCTCTATCCCTTTCTCGCGATCGTTCCGTGAACCGCTGGTCGTCCTTGCCCGTACCCGCTCGTTTTTAAAGCCTCGTCTCCGTTCGATCGCACCTCGACCATGCGATTCACATTGCTCTCTAGCTTCCGATTCTGTCGGTCTCTCGGTGTTCCGTTTCACGCAGGCCCTTCGAGATAAATGCCGAATCATTATTGGAAAAGAACGAAAATTGACAGGATACTGCTATCGCTTGTACGAGATTATTATTCTTTCTTCATTTTGCGCGAAAAGCTAGAACTTTAGGATGAAACTCTTGAAGAATTACAAATGGGGAAACTACGTTTGAAAGCTTAGGAAATTAGAAATGTAGATGTGCGATTTGAGTTTCGATTTATTTTCGAATGGAGATTTTTGCCGAAGATTAACAGGATTTCTAACAGGATTTCTTGCTAGGATTTCGAAGATAATAACTCTTTGCAATCGACGACGTTGGTAGTAAAGCATTAATCAATTGTTTATATATGATTTAATTAAATGTCCATTTGACTAAAAAATTTCGTCAGAGAAATATTTCTCCAAAGTAAAATTTTGAAAACCCACGTTCTCAAAATTGCCACAATCATAAAGAGTTAATCCTCTGTGAGATATTTCTTTTACCTTAGAATTCACATAATCATGTATCTATATTTTTCCAACACTTATTTCGTTTACTTACGTTACATATTACTATATTTCATCGCTTACACGATGTACATTTATTAATCAATTAATTTTTGAAATTAAAATAAGGAACATCAATTGCTTCCGCACTGTAAGCAACTTTATGACGTATTCATTGCAAATATTATTCGAGAAGGATTCGTGTATCTCACGATAGTTCGTTCAACTATGCAAAACGTCGGATCAGCCCGTAGAATCATTAGATAGCATTTATCAGTCTGCGAGGCACGGTAGTCGCCGGATCGTGGGCTGGATCTCGAAGAACCTTCGAGGATTCGTGACGCTAGAATGCAAGGATCGCGTGCAGAGGCGTTTCACGATCGAGAGAGAGATCGAGGCGAATGAAGGAAGAGAAGAGATCGAGGTGAGCCGAGGTAAAAACGCGGCGAAAGAACCAAGAGGCGCAGATCCGTAGTGAACGCAGAAACAATCATTTCGGACACGACTGACAGAGGTTTCTCGAGAGGTTCGAAAACGGATGTTAAATCGTAAAAAAGTATTTGTATTATCGTTATAATATTGGCATGATGTCGTTATGGCACGTTTCAAGTTTAAATGTGTATCGGTCGACGCGTATTACAAGCTTTTTTTTTTTTATCTTACGTTCTCGCTGTACTACAGATATTAATCGTGGTCGCTTCATCAATCAAGATTTTTATCGAACAGAAGAGAAACACGTGGAAATACATAAAGAAAAACATATATACGAGAGAGAGAGAGAGAGAGAGAGAGAGAGAAAGAGAGAGAGAGAGAGAGAAAAAATGAAGTATAGTGAAGGAAAGAAAAATATTTCTTTTAATGTTTCTTTTCGTTTTGCGCACACGTACACACACATGCATCCCCATTCTCCCTTTCTCTCCCTTCTTATTTTTCTCTCTAAGACACACGCTCGCGCGACTTGGACATAACGTATCTTTCGCTTTTTATTTTTTCTTCGTCTATGTCGTCTTCCTCTTTTTCTTCTTCTTCGTCTTCTTCCTCTTCTTATTCTTCTGTCACAGTCCTCCATTGCACAGTCCCATTCGACGTAACAAATGCACCTTTACAAAAACGTATCTCTATCTTATGTACACAAGAGCTGCACCGCTAACGAAAACGCACGAGAAAGAAAGAGGAAAAAAAAAGGAAACAAGTGTTTAATAGCTTTCCGGGACTGAAATTTCTGTTTATACGGCGTGTGCTTCGTTTCTTCGTTTCCTTCTTTTACGCTTGTATTTCTTCACATCTGATTTCCCTTTTTTTCTCTTTGTATTCGAGTATAATGCGCGTGGAGAGATTACACCGAGGATTCAACGATCACAGAGCGCGTACGTGATTAAAGAGGCAATGAAAGTATTCTGAAAAGGCTTCTCGATACTCATAATTTCAAAGAATCGTTAATTTATTTAAATTGAATCGAGGTTGTTTAAATTAAAGTTCGAATGGCTGATTGCAAAGTTGAATGAACAGAAAAGGGATTTTTAATTCACGATTATTGTAAACTACAATAATCAATGAGATACGACCGACCAATTAGTCGGAAAAATGAAAATAATAATAATAATAATAATAATAAAATCGATCGTACGTAAACGTAAAATCATATGTGAAATTATGCAACGACTAGCCGCGATGAATAACGACGATCGTCGGTGTATCCCGAATTACAATACAGAAACACTCCAACGAAAAAACAAAATGACCATGTTAAAACAGGAAATACAAAACGATGTCATAGCGATGTGCGCAGAGACGTACACGAAATTCTCGAATCGGTTCGCGCGTTTGTTTTCACAGTAACGAGGATTCAAAGAGAAACGCAAAACAGTTTCGATTAAAAGAAAGGAAAAAGGAAATGACACGAAAAAAGAAAAAAGAAAAACCCATGAGAAAAAACAGAAAAACGAGCGCATGATCGGTTAAAATATTCTTCTTTCTTTTTTAATCGTTCCGCTATACAACAACAACGGGATATTGCCGCTTAATTACACGTAAAAACACGTTATTACAATAATAATGGGACAAAAGAAGCACAACGGGAACTCGTCGCTCCAACCATCCACGTGAACAAACATTTAATCATACCGTAACCACAATCACCGAATAGTCATCGATGAATTTTTATAATTTCCACTATCCACGCATACAGAAAATTTCGAAGGGATATTTCCTTTAACAAAACGCTTCTTTTTTTTTATTTAAAAATTTTCGAGAGGAATCTTCGATCTTTCTCATTTAACAAATTAAAAAAATAAAAAACGAACAAAAAAAAAAAACAGAAAAGAAAATTCCAGCGAGGGATCAAGTTTGATTAATTTCGCGGCTCTTTGAGGAGGCGACCTGACGCGTGGCGCGAAGAAATCGAGAATTAAAAATTAAGAAAGAACGAAAAATAAAATAAAACGACAAGGAGAAGAGCGGAGAAACGATCTTTGCTCGATCAGGACGACGCTTGATAAATAATGCAACGTGTCTGCGGTACGCGTGCGTTCGTTTTCTTCAAGCTCGATCGTGAACGATCGTCAAAAAGGAACAGGGAGTCGAGCACAAAGCTTTCCTTGGACACGTTCTAATGGAAGCTCTTGTTCACGCGTTCGATGCCAGAACAGTCTCGTAGTTATTGTCTTGATCGTTTACAGCTCGAAAGCGTGGAGTGGCTTGTGCTCGTGTTTATTCCTTTTTCAATTTTTTATTTCTTCGTATACGTATTATTTTTTCGTATCCTTTGTCTCCTTGATTTTGATATTGCTCTAAAAAGAGCGCAGAAGATTAATATTTTCATCGAAAGCTGAAACAGATCGTTCACGAAGGAGAATCTTCAGTTAATCGTCAAGCTGTCAAGATTCCTGAGATTTTTTAAAATTCTCTAAACGATTGATTATCGTTACTATGCAGTGGAGATTGATTAACAAAAAGAAACTAAAGTATAGATTTAAATTTTTCGTTTGTTAATCGCGTTGTTTCCCGCGATCTCATCGGAAATTATAAAAACGGATGGTTGGATAAAAACAAAATAAAGCGAAGTAATCGTAGATTTATAGAAAAGAGAGATTTTACGGTAAAAAAAAAAAAGAGAAAAGAAAAGAGATCTTATACGCTAATCAATCGCACAGTGTATGTGTGTATAGACTTTTAAAAAAATAACAAATTACGTACAGAAGAATAGGTATTTTGATACGGTGAGGTCGAATAAAATGAATGACGAGAAAATTGTCTCGCTCTCTCAACTCATCATCAATATCTATACCTCTTGCTCTCCTTTCATACTGCTCTTCGTCGTTCTTTCATTCTACCTTGCATACGTAGTTACATGCATATCTTTCTCGTTCGTTCTTTCTTTGCTTGCTCGTTTTACTTTTAGTTATATGTCTGCGGTATAATTACTTTATTGAATATAGTACCTGGCACAGGAACATGACCTCTCAGTCATTGGCATCACAACGTAACAAGGACTACAAGCTGTGTCACGCGCACTTTTATCACCATCCTGTATTCTCCTTTTACCCATATCTCATTCATTCTTTCTTTTAGACATTCATACATACATTCTCTCTCTCTCTCTCTCTCTCTCTCTCTCTCTCTCTCTCTCTCTCTCTTCCTGTCATTCTCTTATTCTCCAAAACACACAAACTTGGCAATCTTTTCTCTCTCGAGTGGGTGACTACAGCCAGACACTTGGTCCTGAGTATTTCTGCATCGTATTTTCCTCAAAATCTTCAATATTTTATTCGCATTGTCCGTTCAGTTCCGTTCAGTTCCGTTCACACCTGTACGTTACACGGGTAAACGTTTCCATATTCCTCAGTTTTCTTGAACTTCCTGGGCGAAGTCTCGGGCGAACGAACGTCTCGAGGACCGCTACCTCTTCAAAACGATCTTCAGTTAACCTCCTTCCGGTCTCATCGATCGTTCATCATCCATCCATCATCGAAGACGATCCTCTTCCAACTTCGACTTGCGACCCTCTATCCAATCAGTCCAAATACAAAGTGTGTCTGTCCTGAACATCTGAAACATTCCCCGCGACTCGAATCCCTCTCCCGCGGGGATCCGAACGAAGAAAACCTCCAAAGGTAATTCCAACTTCGTGCTCGCCGTGCTCGCCCAGATCGCGATAGCGACAACAATCGTCCACATGATCGTCCAGCACCTCGTCTGTTCAACACGTACACGGACCCTGTTGTCGATGACACACGCAACGGTGCCGGCAACAGCCTTGTCGCGTGGTTCCGGCCGGGGCTACGTAACACTGATCGCCGGGTTGGACGTGCCCGACGGCGCCGACACCACTTCACTCTTTATACACTGTCCGGTCAGTTGGTTCACGCTAAGGGGATTGTTAATGTCGTGAGGATTGGTGCCGACCGGGTTACGGTGCGGCGGCGGCGGTTGCACCGGCTGATTGTGCGGCTGGCTGCCAGGGTTGGACAGAGGCGGAGGCGGCACCGGGGGCGTCACAGGACAGGGACACGGGCTGGCCAGGCTCGAGGGCGACGGTAACACCAGTGACGGGCTAGCCAGACTAGACAACGCGGATAGACCTCCGGGACTGCTCAGGGACTCGTCATCCTCGGGAGTACCTGCTTCTTCGCCCACGCTGCCGAGGTTATCCTCCGAATGATCGTCCTCGCCTTCGCCGTCCGCTTCGCCGTCGCCGTCTCCTCCCTCCCCCATGTATCTGATACATTTCTTCTTACGTCTGTGAACAAGCAGCGGAAGATTAGCGCCAGGCGTTCTGGTAGCTTTTCTCAGGTGGGTGATGGTGTGGTTATACGTAAAATAAGAGGGCGGCTTCGAACGTTGCTCGCGTTTCTCTCTCATTCGGCTGGCTTTCTATTTCACCGATTCGGTTTGGTTCGACGGAACTCGATAGAACTCCCTTGCGACGGAGCGACGTTCGAAGCTCACCGCGGAAGGTTACATCCAGAATTATTATACCAACTAAAGAAAACATGCGTCACTCGTGGTCGTAGCAGGACTAACCGCGCAGTCATCTCGAATATATTGGTGTTTTTTTTCTGTATTTTTTTTTTGGAGTTTTGCGATACGGTAATGTGAACGAAGCTTCAAAGTGCAAGTTTTTGACGAGAGAGACACTTTTGGAAGCTTCAGAGTTTTAACACGTTCATTGCTGAGTGTCCGACAACGTATTACGAAAACATACGCACGTACGAATTTCTCAAGTAGTAATGATAAACATAAAAATAAATATTTTCAGCAAAGAACGTCTTAAACATCGAGAATCTTCTTTCATGGATATTTTGACAGTATCGTCCAATGAATAGCACATTGAAATTGAGATCTCTGCGCAGCCAGCATTGGTAATTGATTGTTCGACACGGAATCACTCGCTGCAAATGCCATGCTCAAAAAGTTCAGACACGTAATAACAAGCAAATAACTGTGGTGTAATAAACGTATACGTGAAAAAACGAAAGTCTCAACAAAAAGAATTTGGGGGGGAGGGGGATGAGAACGCAGTCTTTTAATCCGCGACAACTACGTTTAACCCCGAGCAGTGTGTATAACGCTGCTCTACTATCGCGTCGTCGAGAAATCGATCACGCTGCAAAAGCACAAAAACAAAAAAAAAAAAACAGGAACAAGAACAAAAAAAAGAAGAAAAATTGCTCACGGGACAATCTACTTTTTCTTTTATATTTTTTTCTCGAGAAGAATTCGCGAAAGTGCCCGCGTAAATCAATGTGATCAATGTTACGTGGAACTTGGAATTTTCATCAACGGAATGGCACGTGGCTCTCTTTCTCTCTTTCTCGATCGATCGTAGCAAGATCTTTCTTCTCTTTCTTTGTTTTCTTTCTTTATTCCGTTTCATATCGGAGAAAATCAACGGGAAATGAAAATGGAAACGAACAGAAAGAAAAAAGAGAGACGATAACCGATTCTAAGTTTACTACTTCGATCGCGAGAAATCGTTTCTTTTATTATCGACTTTTTATTACTTGGATTAGATATCAATCGCGGATCGTGAATGCGAAACGAAAAGGACATGTTATGCATCTTTATCTACATTTGCTACTGCAAAGTTCCCGAAAAGTGAGCCCCCGACCGACCTCGTGTGCTAACTGCATCGCAGTCGAGACATTTATCGCTCTGCCATTGGCTCTCATTATTCATCTCTTAGCCAGTTAATTCTTTTTTTTTTCTTTTTCGTGTGTTCATTGTGTGAACGATAATCACGGTTGTTGGGGCAGGACGTCGACTATACGCAGGCACGTCTGGATTTAAAAAGCGTTATAAATCGAATCTTTTCTAGATATATACTTTGATCGTTATCGATTAGTGCTATTGTCCAGCAGCTTAATTTAATAGTAAAAAAAAATAATGTAATTTTCTGGATAAAGGATTTTCAGCAACATTTACTACAACTGGTTTGAAATTAATCGATCGTTTTCTAAAGAATTCTCTCGCTTATACGACTTTAGCTATTCTCTCGCTATGTTTTTTTCTTTTTTTTGTATCTCGTATCTTCGTGCTCGCTTCAGTCTATTGTTTCAAAGACCATGTGAAAGAATGCTGAAGCGTGTAGCGAAAGAGAGGTGGTCACTTGTGACGTTGTTCACGGCTTGGTAAGTGGCCTTGAGCGGCCAATTAATTTTTCGCGAACAATAGGAAGAATGCGAGGTATTCTAAAAAAAGAGGAGGTTCAAGACTTTGAGACTTGGTATCTAATTCACGGTATCTAATACTTTCACTATGTCCATTGTGTAATAAATTGTTAAAGTACAAACTTCCAGCTTCAAGTGATCGCGGATTAAATTTGCTCAAATTCTTTCTAATTAAAAAAGGATCATTTTAAATTCGCATGTCAAATTGAAATTAATTAGAGATCATTGTTTTCTATATCTCCTCGAGTTGGAAAAGATAGCAGCTGGACGTAGAGGCACAAATCGAGAGTAAAATTCGCGTTCGAACTGCAATCCAAGTCTCTCTACGATATCGCGCCGCAAAATCGAACATCGCGATCGTACTCGAGACTTGGTCTGATCATCGAGCGTCCCATTCTACTGAACAGGACGGACGGCGTGGCGGCCGCCTCGACTCGGTAACGATCACGGGCTGTTTTACACGATTATTTCAAATGCAACAATTATTATCTTACGACATTACATAACAGCAGATGAAAACTAAAATAAAACATAGAGAACAAAAAAAAAAAAAAACCGCTAAAAGGAACAAAAAATATCAAAAAAAAAAAGAAAAATTAAAAGTAAAAAAAAATGAAAATTGAAATAAAACGAAATTGTGTTTACGTACTAGTAAACAAAACTGACTCAAAAAAAAGGAAAAAAAAATAAAAAAAAACGAAAAAGATCCAACACATCCGTTACCAACACATTAATTGTCGTAATAATTACCGTACACGAATTGCCATGCCATTAAAATCAGATTTATAATAAATATAAGTAATATATATATATATATTATATGTATATTATATACTTCTCTATAGCCAAACGTTCCGAACCGAACAACATAACAATTAAACAGAAGAAGAATATTTCTTATGAAACAGAGAGTAATAATAATAATAATAATATATATCTTGGTTACACGTAGTAGACGTACGCAACAACGTATATATTTATATATATAGACACAGATGAGATATATATATATATATATAATATATACATATAGATGTATTATATGTATTACAGACCAGCCATGCTAAGGGCAACATTGAGTAAAGTCCAACTAAACGAGGGTAAACCAAATGTAACAATAATAAGCTGCAAAGAGCCACAACAATGAGAAACAATGCGAGCATTAGAGCTTAGCTGCGCCGCTCACTATGCCAGCCCCTCTCGTGTCGAACACTTGTCACCCTCTCCTCTTCCTTTCTACTCAATAAATCCAAGAATTATCCATGTATTGAAAATTACCAAAGCACACGGGACTGAGTTATATCGGAATGCAAATTAGAAGCTAAAAAATATAATAGGACTTACGTATCGAAAAATACAGAATCTGAAGAACAGCAGTACATGTACAATCTTTTAGAGAATATAATAAAATATAACAATTCCATCTTCTAGGTATATTTCTCTTTTCTAATCTTTTCTGTTCTTTGGACTGTCAGTTCGCATCCAACTTTGACGGGCAACGAGGAGAGTCGGCTGAGCATAGCAAGGGCCAGCTACGCCCTCGTAGGTTTAAGTCGGGACTGACCACTGTTTAAGAAGAAGTGTTGCAGTAGAAGGGAGGCGATAGGCTTGACTAGAGATTAACATAAGTGGGTTCTTGCTGAGGCGAGGAGGCATTGGAGGCAGTGTTGGTGTTCGGAGGGGCAGTCGCTGCCCCTACTGTCCCTCCACCGCCTCCAGCCCCGACCCCTGCCCCTGCGCTACTTCCCACACCGTGATGGATTATGCTCGCGTGGATGCCCATCCCCGCTCCATGCTCCACTGGGCTGCCAAAACCAACCACCAGCCATTAAAGGGGCGCTCGTCGCATCGACGTTATCACTTTAATCCCATCTTAATCCCACACCGTATCGTCGTCACCCACACGCATCGGCCCGAGTCCGTCCGAGACACGCGAGAAAACCTGTCCTGCGCGAACGGACTCGCGACTTGCTCGCTCTTTTTCCTTTTTATTTCTTTCTTCTACTACTAGTACTACTACTACTAGGTTTCTGCTTTTTTAACCCTGGTTTTTCCTCGCGATTTACACGCTTTTCCGTTTTTTTTTTTTTTTTTTTTTTTTTTTTTTTTTACACGCGTGCATTGATCAATTATCAAACGATTGGACCGCGAATCGCACGGATAAATGATCGAGAATTGAGCCAGAATTGTCTCGTAATTTTGATAGTTTGGAACTTTGTTTATCTTTTTGGCGCCTCGAATGATCGTCTGCGTAAGAAGTATGGAATATATTTCGTCTGACGCGAAACGAGGCGAACGTGTCAGCGATTCTGGTCTGTGTTTGATCAGAAAATATGTCTCCCAAGTTGGTCCATGCTTATGGAGCTTCTACTAGGTCGCCACTGTGTCCAAAACGCTCTCAACGATGTGTTCTATGTGTGCTTTAAAAGTGATTCTGCAGTTTGATAGATACAGTGGAGACAAACAATCTTTGGTTCGAGTACGGTCGAATGGAACGTTCGAGCCAAGTATTGCTTGACAAATCTAATTTTTATCTCATCTCTGTATGAACATTACAAATTTGAAGATTAGGCGAAAGAAACATGATATTTCCTTTAAATTTCTCAGTAAAAGAACACGAGTCTCGAGAAAACAGATTACAAGTTTATGAAGTTCTATATAAAATCAGCGATATAATAAACGTTCCAGTTTTAAATTACATAAATTTATTTAAAAAAATTCGCAGTATAATTACAACTTTAAATGCTTTTGAAATATTTAAAACGGCGACGAGTCAACCAGAGATATAATTAATGAACAACATACTAAATTTTCAAATAATAAAACCCGTAAAATATAACGTATCATGTTTCCCCTCGCGATCTCGATGTAGTTTTTTGAATGAACACGATTTGATCAGCGTGGAAGAAACAAAAATTTGTAACTGTAATCGTAAGAACAGTGGTTGGGATTCGTCATCGCCCCTTTAATGAGGTCCATGAGATTCACAAACCCAGCCGGGAGTTGGGGCATTTGGGCGCACTGTGCGATTACGTACAGTGAGAACGGAAGTTATAGTGGCGCTAAAACGGGTGGCTCGTGATGCCGCAATAAACTACAGTGTGGTATCTAGTAGATATATTTACAAGCAAAGTACAAGTGGATGATGTCGATTTTCGAATCGATCCAGCAACGTGCGAGAAAAATTCCGTTCTTTCTTTTTCTTCGAAATTTTACACCCATCTATATATTCTCTTCAGCATACTGTTTCTTCGTTTTTCTTTCGCTATCTCTATTATTATTGTAAATTTCTTTTTTTTTTTTTTTTTTGGAAGACACATTTTCTGACGGTCGCTACTTTCTTTCTTTGTATTCTTTTCTTTCGTCTGCTCGAGGAAATCGATACGACGGACAAGCTAGATTTTCATCGCGAGGACTCGAATATTCATTTATTTATCAGTTGCATCACTTTCTCTTTCTTTCTTCTTCTTTTTCTCTTTTTTTTTTTTTGAATTTTACATTCGCGACAAAATCTCGAGTTTCTACGTTCAGGTCACTCTCATCTTTTCTATTTTCAAGTTCCACGATAACATGTGGATGACGGAACGGAGTAGAAGACGATAACAGTAAGAAGTGGTGATAATCGAGAGATACTAGTTTTTGTGCCCGGGAGTTGCAAGTCTCGAACGTCGAACGTGATGGACCGCGATTCATCACCGGTCAACTAGCTGTATTTTACATCTTTTTCCATGTAGTTACATTGGATCGCGTGCACGAGTATCCTCCGTTTTCAAATCTCGAAGTCGATCTGATCTTCTCTAATTATTAGTACACAAATTAATTTGGTGCTTTTAAATTTTTTATATCACACGACATAATCTTAGTCTAACAAACGAACTTCTATTACGTATTCCTGTATAAAAATGACTTGAAAAAATTAGAAATTTTGTATAACTTCAAATCTCTTGACGCAAATATTGTAAATCCAAAGGCACTGAATTGATTCATATAGCTGATAAAAATACTTCACCCTTAGATAAATTTCATTTCGCACCTCTGTGTAAAATTTTCATTTCGTAAAATTTTCATAATTATCGAAAAGATTTCAAGAACGCGAAAATTGTTGAAACAAAACTCCACGGAAGATACTCGTTCACGGCGACCAAGTGTTTCGTATCGTTCACCATCATTCACCACATATAAAGAAAAGTAACTTCCTCTAGTGTTCACACTACTATGAAACCGAGACGTGAGACTTCTAGTTCCTTCTCAACACTTCTCAAGATCGAAAATACGTATGTACACGCGACCGGGACAGCGTGCCGCAGCTTGTCAACATGACGGTATATAAATTCTCCTCTCAAGAAGCAACGAGTTTCAAACCCTCTACACGATGCACACGTACCTGCACGGCTTGCACCATTGGCTTTGCTGGTCTAATCCGTACCTGGCGCGACACTTCTTCATGTTGTTACCTAGAAAATGTGAAACGTGTACCGATTAGGCTGGCTGCTACAGTTCCTTTTCGGCTGTGAACAAAAGGGCTAGGGTGGCGTTTATTCCTTTTCCCTCTTATCTTTTTTTCTTTTTTTTGCTTTCTTTTCTATGTCACGTATAACATTTATGTATATATATATATAAAGATTATCGAATTTCTCTCGTTTGGTCGAACGGATGACGGTAATTGACAGAACGATTGTCTGGAATCGTTTTGCAAATTAATTGTAAAACGATTTTTCGAGAAAGAATTCAGGAATTGGCATTAGGGTTGTTCGTAAGAATATGTATATATATGTATATATTCCTTCTCGAAAGATGCAAAACGATGCTCGTCATCGTGATGCAGCGATGCAAACTTGTTGAGAATACTGGAACCAATTCAACGTTTGTCAACTAGCCATGCGTGCAACAGAACGATCGCGACCGATCGAGCTTGATTTACCTGGGAGTTTCGTGAAATTCTACACAGAATAAAAGAGAAAGTTCAAGTATCTTAGAATTGAAACACGGAGATTTGAGAGAATTGTGAGTTCAAGCTCGAATGGTCTGTAGAAATTTGACAATATACCAGTGAGGCAGGGTCTTTCCGGAAGAGGTCAATATTTTTTGATACTTTATACTGCGTTCACAAGTCACCATTAATAATGAATAATTAATAAATTGCTTGAGAAATGAGATTAACTGCAATGCAAATTCTAACAAGATCTTCTGATTATTTATTGATTGTAAAATTGAACGGGTGTTTCGAATTTCTTTTTCAAATTCTACAAATTTTCACTTGCAAATGATTTTCAAATCATTCATTGGATTTCCAACGAAAGAGAAATGAAGCTATACTGTGTTCTCAAGATCTTAAGAATGAAGCAATTCTTCGGTGACTCATGCACGTCAATTTTCTCGATTTATACAGAAATCGCGAACTATTTCAACTTCGAACATTGCAATCTTCGGAGAAAAACCCTGCGATTCGACAAAAAAAAAAAAAATAAAAATAAAAATAAAAAAGAGATATCTTGTCAAGCTGAGTAAAAACAGCATGCAGCGTAAAAACGTTAAAAACGGCGTAAAAACACGATCAAAGATCATATCTACTCAATTAATGTCGTGATTTGTATTAAAACGCAAGCTCTAGACAATAAATATTAAAGTTGAATATTGAAAAAAAAATAATAATAAAAAAAAAATGATAAGGAAAAGAAACAAAAAGACGTTCGAGCGCTTGAGCGTCGTGAACGAAACAACTCGCATGTACGGGTCGAGAATAATTGAGTGGTTGATTAGAGGTGACCATAGAAAGAACCAAAACAAAGAAAAAAAGGGGAGTCAGTGGATCAACAAATTACCATCTTAATGTATAAAAAAAAAGAAAAAAAGAATTAAAATTAGAGAAAAAAATTAACAGGCAATGTTGAAACGATCAAAGGTGGTGGCGAGTGAAAAAAAATAGAGAAGTGGTAGGGGTGTGAAACGAAATCAACGTATCAAGAGAGAATCAAGAAATTAACAAAGAAGAAAAAGAAGAAGAAAAGTCAAAAAAAGTCAAGAAAAGAAGAAGAAGAAGAAATGAGATCTAAAGAGAAAAATGATAAGAGCGCAAGAAAGAGACAAAAGGCAGAAAAAGAAAGAAAAAGAAGACGTAAGATAAAAGAAAGAAAGAAAGAAAAGATAGGTAAACACAGAGAGACTGAGTGAAAATTAAAAACGCTTAGGATTGTCTGATTGCGGAGTATAGGTCCCTGTAAAAATGCAAGATGGCCAGCGTCCCCAAAGTTGTATACGTATAATTAATAATTAATAAATGCTGTGTCATGTGCGTGTACGTGTGTACTGAATGCGCTCGTGTCCCATTTACTTTTTCGTTCCCGTTATATATTTGACAGAGCAATATATATAATGGAAATCTGTCAAACATCATATGGAGGCACGCACGTGCGCAAGCGTACGTGCACGCCCGCTTACGTGAGTGGTTTGATCATTCACATTCTACTATATATTCGTTTTTTTTTTTTTTTTTTACTTTTCTCGAACATTATATATTTTCTCTTATTCTCTTTCTTTTTGCATCTTTTTTTTTTAATCTCTTCTGTCTATTTTTGCATGTATATAATTTTTTTTTTCTCTATATGTTTTGCTCGTTATTCAAGACAAAAAGACAACTAAAAAATATATTACGAAAGACCAAATACAATAATAGATATAATATAAGTTACATATATATATGTATATATGAACGTAATATATGCGTGTGCATGTATATAATATGATAATAATTATAATTAATATATATAATCGTATATATATATATGTAGAATATATATTATATAATATATATATATCGACCCAAAACCCCAAGACGGGGGGAAAACATGCAACATAATGTAGTGTAGCAATAAGAATGTATATAATAATTATATAATAGTATAATGTAATAATGAGGGGGTGGGGGGCTGTTGAAAAAAGGGGGAATATATTTCAATAAATTTCTGTAGCTGTGTTGGTAGTTTGTAGTAAGTAGTAAGTAATAGTAAGTAATAGTAGTAAGTAATAGTAAGTTGTAGTTGTTGCTGTTCGTGGGGCGGGGGGAGCTTGTAAGAATGTGTGGAGTGAGGCATGTGGGTACCTCCAGGATCACTGTTTGTGTCTTGTTTGCGCTTCCTCTTCTTAGTTCGGTTGGTATTTGCGCGGGAAGACCAGTCAGGGTACAGCTGCATGTGCAACTGTCTCTCCCGTCGCGCCAACTCATAATACTTGGCCTGTTCCTCTCGCCCTAGCGCGTGCCACTACCGAGAGAGAACCAAACACTATTTGTAATTGTGCATGAACCGTGAGCTAAACAATTATTTTTAATCAAGAAGAAAAAAAAAAGAGTTTCACTAATGCTACTACCGCCACCCTAATTTGCATCTTTCGTTTGTATCTTTTTCTTTCTTTTTCTTTTTTTTGTTCTGTTTAAAATGTTCGCTTATATGTCTTTTGCGTCTTTTTTTTTTTGGTTAAATAATAAAAAATCTCGTTTATCTCGTTTATCTCGTATTCATATGCGCTTTGTATATGGTATATCATATATGCTCGTTCGACGCATCGTGGCCATTATTTTTTTGGCTCGAGCATAATTTCAGTAACACTGGGGTCCCTACTTTCCGTTTAAAGTGCTAGAAGAACAGCCTAGATTCTCCCCTCCCCCTCGCTTGTACCGCTATTCGTTGTATCGTTACTTTTATCGTGACGATACAGGGTGTCTGATAGAGAAAATCGGCATCGCGCAGCGATGTACCGTGGATTTATTCGCGAGTCATTGTGTTCTACCGGAATTAAGGATTCTCGGCTGGTTTATACACTGAAAAAATACACTAATCACATTACACAGGAAACAACAGTATAACAAATAAAACAATTTTTATCTTAAAAAGAAATTATTCAAAGCAAAGCAAAACCATTCGTTAAACAGTAGACTTTCCAAGCTCTTTTTCCAGTGTATTCGTATCCTCCACTCGACGTTCTTCAAAGGAGCTTCACGATCACACAAAATGTGTTCACTTACCGTTCACGATCGCAGAAAAAGAAAAATTTCGATCGTTCGAATGAATAGTTGGTAAGGAGAGATAGTTGAAAGTATGGTGGAGGGCCAGCACAGAGTTCTCGCTGGATTGAAAATTCATTTTCGTCGCGACACGTCTCGATGGGCCACGAAGGAAAACGTAGCGGTCCCGTTCGAAATGATCGTGAAGAGAAAATCGATCGGAAATCAGATTTCCTCGCGCTCTACCAGACAACCTGTACCTGAGGCACTCGTATCACCGTAACATCATCGCTCTCGTTCGAATGAATCACAGTCAATCTATGTTCGTTCGTTCAACGTGAATACATTTCTTTCGTCTTTCTTCCTTTTTTTTTTCTATTTTTTTTCTCACATCTTTTTTTTTCTCTTTTGTCTCTCCGTGAACGGATACCGCTTTAGGGAGTTTGGCCAGATACACAAAAAAAAAAGAATCTGCGTTAATGATCGGTTGCATGCCGCGAGACTCCGTTCTTTTCCTGTTTGCTGCGCTGCCGCGCAATACAATTAATGTCGGCCGCATATGGATCCGCAAAGAAAAAATCCGCCCCCAACAGACAATCCAATATGTGAATCCAATAATACGCAATATATATCGAGTCGACAAAAAAAAAAAAAAAAAAAAAAAAAAAAAAAAAAAAAACAAAACAAAACAAAACAAACGAACGGAAAACCACGTGTACGTAGACGCGTGCACGCGAGTTCCCGCGTGCGAGTTCACGTGGCTGTATGCACGCGCGTACGTGGGTGCCGTGTGTTTTGTTCGATAAAGCGCTCCGCTCGGCATATTTCATTTCATGACAGAAAAACAAAGTCCGCACGAGTCGAAGAGTGAAAAATGTCAAGACGGAATATAAAAAAATAAATGAACGAAAAAACAAAGAATTTGTGAAAAAAAGTACAAAAATATATATGTATATATGATAAAAAGAAAAAAAAAACAAGAGGAACATAAACGAAACAAATACAAAAATGGACACTTAAAGAACAAGAACGATAGACCGGGAAAAAAATTCGTAAAAAATTATAGAATGATACGTGTTCGTTAGAATGAAGAAACAAAAAATTCAAAAAAAAAGGTAATAATCAGACTGAAACTTTCCACAAGAGACTTTGATCGTTTCAATGTCAACCAGTAGTAGGTAATCTATATGAATTATTATTATTATTATTATATCATTATTATTATATTATTATGATTATTATTATTATTATTATTATAATGAATTATTAAGGGCCTGCTGTTCTAGCACTGGAAAGTGGTACCTCCGGTGGGATCTGCGGACCGTTCTTTCTTCCTCTTCTTCTTCTTGCTGCCGTATCCGTAGTTATCCCTGGCACTCCAGCCGGGGTATCGTTGCTGATGGAGATGGCGCTCCTGCCTGGCCGCCTCATAATACCGCGCCTGCTCCTCCCGGCTTAGCGAGTGCCACTGCGTGTCATACCCCCAAAATTCAGATTCACAGATTCACAGCCTCACAGTATTTATCCGTGCACCGTGTGTCCCTTTTACTTTTTTTTTTTTTTTTTTTATTATTCACGTCCCTTTTTTTCCACGTGTATATTTTTTACAAGTTTTTTTTTTTCTATTAAGGAAATTTATTATCGCATTACTGTACACTTTTTTTTCTCATTGTTACTCTTTAGCGACTTGTTTTTACCCTCACAGATGGTGGATACATACACCAAGAGAGAGGTGTCGTTTAGATATTTTTTTTTTTTATTCGTTATGGTCCCAACCCAATTTCGTCTCGAATCCCATCCCCTAAGAAACTACCCTTTCTTCACGTCGCCGATACTTTTCCTTAGATCCCACCTACGATGCTCTCTCTCTCTCTCTCTTTCTCTCCCTCTCTTTCTCTCTATTCTATATTCTAATCTATCTATATCTAGTCGTACTGAGATTACTAGCAGATACGGTTAGTGCTTGTGATATATTCTTTTTTCTCTTTATTAATCCCCGCGGATCCAACGAAAGAGTTAACAAAACGCATGCAACTTTTTGTATTCTTCCCTCTTTTCTAGCTTGTGCTTTTCGATCGTCCTTCGAGACACCGTCTGGTTGTCTAGGGTGCTCTGTGGATTCGGATCGTTTCGTGCTCATCAAGTCAAGATTTTACTTCCGGATATCAATATTATCGATCACGTTGCTTTCAATTTGCATAGAAAATTTTCATTTTACGTCACAACGTTGAACGTGATTTCTTTCACGATGTTTTTACGATATTTCTAGTTTCTGTCGAATCTTTACGATAGATTTATGATATTGGTTCTCTGTTACATCCTTGTGATCTATGATACGTGGATGACCAATCGTTTGGAAGATCAAAGGAGCACGGAAGAAAATCTTGACTTTGGTGCTTCTCTTTTACATCAGGGCTCGTTCGAACACATTTTTGAAGCTTTTCCATTGCTATTAACGATACAGCAAGATGTTTCAGGAACCAGTTGCTATTCTGAAAATGTTCTTAGATGTTGATCTTTTGTTCGCAGACTTGAAATGAAAAAAAAATAAGAGGAAATTTGCTCCTGAAACATTTCAGCATAGTTAATAGCAATTTGAATAAAACTTACGCGGAATTTGACGTGATTTGTGGTACAACTGAGTTTTTGTAACTTGAAATGAATCTAAATGATCGAATAGCTTTTGAATTGAATAATTTGTGCTTTTGTTGAGATAATTATTGTTTCTGAATATGATACCAGTTAAATATTAATACTTAATACTAGTTAATATTTAATACTAGTTAAATTTGTTTCATCAATACTCTGTGATATATAGATCGTTATATTATCTATAGTGTCACATTTAGAAATTTGTAAAAATATTCAATAACATCCAATAATCCATAAATCAATCTACAGAGAATATTTCGTCTTAAACTCTTATATAAAAGACTATCAGTTTCTCTTAATTATATCTTTGTATTTAAAACATTTAAGAAACAGAGCATTACAGAAGTAGCTTCATCAACAAATCAATGCCAATGAAATCCAATTATTGTTGTTTTATACGTCAGTTATTACAACAATTCCACAACTGTACATTATAAACAGATCAAACGAACAAATCCTACGTTACTCTGTATCTCAAAAAGCTATTTCTCCATTTTAACCTGACTTCAGCCTTATACCACGAATCACAGTCTATTCTATCCACAAGCAACCGTGATTCTAACTAGAACTGAAAGAAAAGAAACATCAAACATGAATTTTAATATACCTTAGTAAATTGTAAAAAGTTGTACAAACCCTGATGCAACAGATTCTTCGACATATATGAATACTTATCAACGAAAGTATAGTTCCATGTTACTCACTCGTCTTCCCAATATTTGGTTGATTGCGGCGCTCTCTTTTAAGGTACACTCCGCCACGACCTTCGCCCTCATCTCCTTCATGTACAGCATGAACGCGTTCAAAGGTTTTTTTATATGGGGTTTCTTTTTATCTGTCAAACATCATCGACGGGTATGAGAGGTGGTCTCTACAGTGTGAAAATCAACGGTAAACTGATCACAGAAGCCCAGATCCGTTAAATGAGCTCTTACCTTGATTGTTCTGTTGCCCTGTATCCTGTGCTTTTGCGTTGTCTGCCGGTAGCGACGTAGAATTTTTCTGCTCTACCGTAGACCTATTCAACAGATAATCGAAAAATTTCATCATTATCAATTTAAAAATTAATTGAAGAATTTAGAAATTAAATTTCTCATTTCTTTCTGCTTAATTTGTTGGTAGCGTGTAATAAAATTCAGAACGAACGATTTCAGGAAATAGTTATTTCTTCGTTCTCTAGTTATGTTATATTTATGACTATATCATTCATTAAAATTTCGAATCTACAAATTTGTAGATTGTTTATCTTCTATTTTTGTTCTTCTCATTGCATTGTCAAAGATGTTAAAAAATTCGTTGAAAATTTCCTATTTACATGCTGGATTTAAATCCTGGATTTGGCGTCATTGTTAAAAAGATTTAGCTACCACCGAAAGAATTAATCGAAATATTCTTCGGTATCAATCTCATTTTAGTCACTTCAATGTCAATCTACGATCTATTTATATTCCATCAAACGACCCAATGGTTACCGTTTGAAGTAAGACTGCTTCGAGTCGCGGTTCAGGGGTTGTTGGTCGGGTTTCGTGCAGGATAGGGGAAAGGTCGGCGTGGAGTTCTGAGAGTTGCACAGTTGTTCCGTGAGATTCGTCGTCGGCCCGTCGAAATATGGCTGGGCGGGCAAGGTCAACGGGTTCCTGGGGAAGTTCTGCGGCAGCGGCCAATTCATCTGTTGCCACATACGATGCCTAGCCTCGACCATGGCCAGCAGCTGCATGAAGTTGTGCTGGGCACCGTACGGAGGCGGTGTCACGCTCCTCGGCAGGTTCATGTTCGACATCTGCATCAGGCTGCTCATGTAGAGTGCCGTGAGAATCTTGTGATCGGCTGTGGGTAAGCCCGCCTCGCCGGCCTTCATCGCGTCCTGGAGTATCGTCATGTTGTCCTCGATCGTTTTGCCCGGATCAGGGTTGTTGCATTTCTCCTCGTCGATCCTGTTGATCGATGCCTCGCTGCTGCCCTCCTCGATCGTCACGTTGGTAGCAGGTCCGCTCTCAGTGTTGTCGTCCTTCTTTATCACCAGGTTCAATGGCTCCAGACACTCGGGCTCCATCGCACTCGTGGGTCCCAGTTTATACCCACCGGCACGCTCGAAACTGATCCATCGAATCGCGATACACCACCGCGTGTGACAACCTCTACACTCTGTTGTATTCCCTCTCTCTTTTATCGTTCTAGTCTTTCTGTTCGTTCCGTTCTCTCCTATTCTATTCTATTCTATTCTATTCAATCGGGTGCCAAGTATCCCGTACACGTGAACGTTCATCATGCAGTGATCGACACCGCGGTTCGAGCAACGTCTCATCATCCTTCTGCTGGCCAATTCGTCAGTGTTGCAAGGATCGTCGTACGAGCGCGTTGCCTCGCGTATCCGAACAGGATCGAGGAACTCGAGAACATTGGTATTCACGTAGCTTCCCGTTGTCGCTTTACACTCCACCACGCTTCTAGTCTTCGCGTCTTCGTGTTCTATCATCGTATCGCACGTCGACGAATAATCTCGGCGGAACAGTCCCTGTTGTAAACAGCACACGTACACGCACAACATTTACCCCTGAACCCCCGTTTACACTGACATGAACGGCGCCTGGCTCGAGACGACGACATCGGCGGTGGTGGCCGCGTCAACCCCGGAAGCACTGTTCACGCCACGTCTTATCCATCCTCGTCCGCGCGTCGCGTATCGTCGATCTGAATGGCTTCATATCGTTGTGCGAATGGCATTCAAACATTCATGAGCGTCGAATCGCACGGTAAAATGTCTCCAGGGGCGGCATCTCGTGCACGGGCCCGCCGCTGTCGGTATATATATTCCGTTCTCTCTTTTCTTCTTTCGCCTTCTTGCCTCTCGTCAGCCCCGAAAGAGACGAGACAGAGAAAAGACAAAGCCTCACTATCGATGATATTTTTCGTTTCTCCTTGTTCGAGCAGATCTTACTCCCTGTTACACGATCATCTCTCGTCCCTCTCGAATCCCTGCTCTTTCCTCGTTGGAGAGACACACGCGCGGGGTTCGTATCGTACCACCGTCTTCTTTCCTCTCTACTGTCACGATTCTCTATACCACACGGAAGAAGCCACACGCGTCAGTGTTACAGAGAGATATAAGATAACGGGGAAATAAGAAGGAATCTCTGTGTCCTCGTACGTGTTTGGTACGATTGTGCTGGTTTGGTACTACCGTCTGTCTGCTTTCCGCGTCGTGCCTCTTTTCCACCACCCTGTGTTATCCCGCATCCAGCGAAAATGCGTCGTTCCTGGCGTCGGTGGAATCACCGAGCGGTGTTACGACGATTGATTATCCGCGAGTGCGGAAGGGGCGGCGGGGTGGAGGGCTGCACCGTGGGGCCATCATCGCGATTCATGGCTCCGCAGCAACGACACCCTACCATCCGCCGATGTATAATTCGCGCGTGGGGGGTGAAGATTGCATTCTCTCCGCTTTCCCTGCGTGATGCCTTTTTTTGGCGGGCTGCGTGGCGCTACCATCGGCACCCTCGCACCCCCGTCCGCGCTCTTCTCTCTCTCTGCCTGGGATCACCACCACTACCACCACCACCACCACGACCACCACTACCACCACCACCACCACCACCGCCACCACTACCACCACCAGCACCAGCACCAGCACCAGCACACGGAACGATATATGCCACCTGCACAGGAACAGAGGTGTAGTTTCTCTTTAGTCTCCACGGATCAGCTGCTTTTATTGCATATCCTTCGTTATCGATCTGTCTCTCTCTCTCTTTTACATATTTCCTCTTCATTCGAAAGGACAGTCCAAACTCGAGGAAGAAACCTTCGACATCTGTTCTAGCGATCGTGACACGTGAGTCTGATCGATCCGTGACCTCTCTCGTCTCACTCCAGCGTAGATTTCCCAACACGAGCGGTCCAACTTAAACTGAAAACTCGAGAGGAGTAGGCACGCGTATTACTTCTTTCTTTAGATATTATTCCAGATCACGGTACATCTAGAAAACGTTACAGATACGATGTTGCTGTTAAAATGAACAGCGTCGGTTGATTTTCAATCACGAGGCACGTGGCTAAGACCGAAGGTCAAAATGGAAGACGACGAGAGGGGCACGCGAGGTTCACGAGGTGGCTCGTAAAAGTCCGTCGCGGCGTCCCGACGCTTCGGTGGGCACGCGACGCGCCTCTCCCCTCTTCAAGAACGAGCCTGGGTCGTCCGAGCAGCAGCTGCCAGCTGATCACACGGCGTGGTGTGTCTCGTGCATGGCCTTGTGCACGCGTGCCTCGAATGTAGGAAGCGCGACCATGCGGCTTTGTATACGATGCTCGGGCCAGGCGATCGGCCGGGTACTAATGCAAATTAGAAATCTGTTTAAGAGGGTAATGATCAATACATAACCGGCGGCGGCGGCGGCGGCGGCGAGCAGCGGCGGTGGTGGCGTCGCCGGCAGGCGCAGACGCTGTGCGAAGAGAGTCATTCAATAAGTGTTATACGTGCCTCGTCGACGAAGGGGAAACGACTGCACGAGGGGTTGAACACCCCGTGACGTGCTACCCCCTATGGTCGTCACTGAAACTATCCGTCAACCGGTGATACACTGCCAGGTCGACGCTTCTTTATCAACGGACGGGCCGGATCAAGCGTTGTTTCCCTTTATCGATGGAAGGATATCAACAAATTGATATCCACCTGACGAAAAGGACGCATCGTTACGTTTTTCAAGTTTGCGGTTCAGCTTGACGAGCCTCCGTTCGGCGTTAGGTACATCGTCGGTTAAGTGTTTTCGTAACAGGTGATGATATGAAATGGTATCTGACGATAGGAAAGTTTTGCCTTTGATTATTCGTGAGGTGTCTTCTTTTATCGGTAGAAGGATAGCGAGATAACATCTGACGTAAGGGGGCAATCTCTGTAGTATCTCTTCTCTTCATTTATCAATGAAACATTTTTCTTTATCGATGGAAGGAGATTTACGTTTTTACGTTTACGTCCATGTTGAGTATCGATGGAAGAAGATACAACATTGAAAATATGGTATTTTCATGTATGTTTTAACTAGCCTTTGTACATCAGTGGATGAAAGATTATTTCGTTTGAAGACTCGTTTTGTCATTTATGTATGGACGATAACGGGTAGACATGTTGGTTCAGTAGAACGAAAAGGAGAGATGGTTCACTTATTAATACATCTTACTTCTAGTAAATTATCGACTGGCTCTCTCTCTCTGGTAATGCTTCGCCTGCGATATTTACCAGCACAGTATATATGTATCGAAATTCATTCCGACAAAGCGAGAATTAAGCCAGTAGAAAGCGTGTTATTGGTGTGACACGTTGTTCTTCTCGTTGTTTCGATAATAAATTGGCAGCTTGCCAATGATTCTTCGCTCGTCTGATCAAACTCTGGTTGTACCACTTGAACTACGATACTTGAAATATTAATATGCATTTATGGAAAGCTTGCAAGTGCAACATGCAAAAATACGTAAAATATTCAATAAATGAAACAAATTTCTATTCCAAGCTCTATCATCTATTTATCAGTAGATTGTGGATGGTTACGTAAATTTGTTTCCATAAATATTACCAATAAATTCTGAAAAATATTACAAGTTCTGTATTGCTCTAAATTCCCCATAAATGTATAAATATAGATATCAGTATCGATTACAGTTATTGCAAGATTGAATCAAGCAGAATATCTTTTCGATCAGTTGAAGGTAATAACGGACTGTTCTACCGTGTCAATTCTAGAGGAGGATCGATATTTATGTTTTCGTATACATTATGAACGTGGAAAAGGAATAGGGGAAAGGTTATTGAGGGAGATAAAATGTTGGGGATTTGATTCGATGGAATAGATGTAGGTGTCGCTGATATATCGATGGAAACGAACCTGTGATTGTGATCCAGGGTGGAATGATCCGTTTTCGGCGCTGAGGACACCAGTGCGTGGGACGCCAACGCGTGTGCGTGCGGACTGAGTCCAGGGTGCGGGGGTATCAGCCCCGTCGGCGAAAACCGGTAGAGATCACTGGAAGAAGTTGCAGAAAATTTTATAACTTTTAGGAAATTGGACGATGATAGGTTGAATGATAATCGGGCTATACGAATGTTTACGGAAATTCATATTTTCATACATATAACTGGAGAGGGGCGAAACGTTCTTCAATTACGTCTTCGAATATTCGATTCCGTCGGTATTTTATATATCTCTGATGATATTCTTAAATCTTGCAATTCTAAATTTTGATCCTTTTAATTTTACTTTGACAATCGTTTAAATTTTACGCAAATGTATAAACATTCGTAGTTTAGTAATAATGATTTTATAAATGACGAGGGTTTCGATACTCGATGACATGACAATTGGAAACGATGACTTCAACTTTTTGAGGGATATCAAATAGTAATTAGTAACTACAATGAAGTATAAAAATATTAATATCTACAACTTATACTCTAAATAAATAAAACTGAAAAATTTCTAATATTAATCAACTCATTTTTGATAAGACTAATATTAATTGAATGTTCCAACATCACTCGCAACCTAATAATAATAATTTCACAATTTAATAGAGAAGAGATGCAACATTTTGTTAAACAATTCGTCATTTAGATTATAATTTATTACAGTTGAATTTATTCACAGTTGAATTTGCAAATATCGAACGTTTGTTATTGAGAAGATACGCAAGTTGAAACTGCGTATCTTTTCGTCGATAGAATTAGTTGCACAGACTTTGGAGGTGTAGATTCGAGTAATGTGTAACAGAAATTAGGATGTTTGAATGAACTTGACAAATCCGATTTCGATCACCTACTAACCTTGGTAAACTAGAACTTGTGATTGGCAAACTCGTGGGATATGGACTTCGGAAACCAGTGCTTGCCGGGGAAATGGGGTACATGCTCGGTGTGTGCCTGAAACGAAATCGTTGCTTGTCAAACAAAAGCATTAGTCCGAAAGTAACTGTCTTCGTACGCTGCATTCACTGTTGTTAGAGTAGTTCTCACGACTTCTCGAGTGTTTCCTTTTCGAACGTAACTCGGCAATTCTATTTAGAAAGGGAAAGAGTTCAATCGATCAATTTCATGAAACTCGATCATAGAATTTCATGAAATTCAGCCATCAAAATGGAATTTAAATTTCCATCTTTTTTAGTTGAATTTCCTTGCTCGTTTCCTCACTTTTATAGAAGTGTATTTCCATAAAAGAATGGAATTTAAATATCAATGTTTTCGACCAAATTATTCTGCACTCTTTGTCTTTTTCGCTTTCTATAAAATTGTTTTTCTTAATCTCTGAAATGAAGATTTCCTTCTGTTGCCAGTTATTTCGCAACTGTCACATAATTACCATTATACAAATTTCTTCTTTTTTTAACGATCTCTACAAAAAAAAAGAGCAAATTCCTTAAACAACAATTTACAGAAACAAACTCGAATTTTTATTCCATTTCTATTCTAATTTCTTCGTTCCACGAGGATAATTTTTCGGGAAAGGTCATGAATCTTCCAAACTTCAAACAATTCACGCCAATCAAACCCAAATTTGTAGCTCTTAATGCTAAAATTTCACCGCAATTTCCTTTCCATTCAGCTGGAAATCATTCTCGAACCTCTTGGCGGCGTGCTATTTCTTCGAACGAGACGAAATGCCTCGGCATCGCCAGGGAAAAGCGCGGTTCCGCCCTCCTAATTGAGAAGAACGAGCCTAATCACCCGTGGAAAATCTCAATTTGGGACAGTTCGAGCAGAAAGCAAATAACAAGGAGGGAGGCAACGTCAGAGCCTCTGGAAGAGGGTTGGTTTGTGCGGTCAGCGCGTGTTATAGTTGGATCGACGACGATGGTGACTACGTCGTTCACCATCGGTCTAATAGACCGGAACTGAGAGGATGACCGTGGAAACGGAGCCGTGATTCGCCCCGAGAAAACGAGAGTTGAATCGAGAAATGTATTGGCTCGTTTTATCCGGAGTGCCGATTTGTCGTACCTCTGTCATTGATCTTTTTTCCCCTTTTCTATTTTAAAAATAATAAGATAGGATTACACGAATCAGTAGGATATATAGATCGAGCTAAGCAATTTGACGTGTGTAACACTTGAATATATCTTCGATTACATGAGTGTTACGATATATCATTTTAAAATTTCGGAGTGTATGAAAAGAGTAGGAGTTGTCCAGAATTAAATGAAAGGACAACTTTCGTAATATTGGGGGGGTCCAATTTCATTTTAAAGAGTGATAAAAATGATTCTGCACGAAAATTCAAGCTCGAATTTTAAAAAACGCCTTTTATCTTTTCAATGGCGCACGTACGAACCGTATACTCAGAAGACGAGAGAGAAGACTCGAAAGAAAAAGGGGTTGAAAAGAGGAATATTTCCAAAGCTAAATAAAAATCGCGTTTATCCTGGTCGAGTGGCCGCGTTCGAGGGCCGAATCGTTAGTACGCGAAAGGTAGAATTAACGATCACTTGAAAAATCGGACGTTTCTCATGTAAATTGGCCCACTCCTCGTCTTCGATCTCGAATCCTTGGAACTTTTATCTCGATCCGAGCGATATATTTTCGTATCGTGGCTATTCAATCATCTGTCTTTTCTTTATTCGCGTGTTGTTCGCGATACGAGAAATGGTAAATGATTTCTCTTCGTTCGATATAATCGTGACGGGGACGTGAAATTATCGAAGAAGATTATAATATTTTAATTCCGTTACCTAGAAGAGAGTTGATAAGAAGGTTAATTAACTCGGTTATTTTATAACGAGAGATGGTAATGAGACTCGTTTGTGCAGCTTTTTGCTAGTGACGTTTCATATCGGCGGATCAAGTGTATTGACTTACCAGGAAGCAGCGACTTGCGTCATTTCCGGGCTAAGCATGGGGTACGGATATTGACCCGTGGAGAAGGGATACATTGGTGCTCTCGTCAAACCTGCAACAAAAATCAGCGATGTAGTTGTCCCGTTCTTTATCCTTTGTCTTGTTGTGATCGACATTAATATTGAAAGATAACAGTGATATTAATTCTTCAGAGATATTAACTCTTAATGATCAACGAGGATCATACGATTAAATTATTTAATACTAGGAATTTTTTTAGTATTTCTCTATCACAAAGAATGTGAAATACGTGATAATAATCAAATATAACTAAAACTTAATAATGTGAAGTAAAATCACTATAGTTATTTATAATCCAATATCAGACGAGGTTTAATAAATTAGACGATTTTTTCTCACAGTTTCTACAGAGTCTTGATTTTTTTTTATAAAATTGAAGTCTCTGTACAGAAAATAATAACTGTAGCATAGACAAATATTAAATATTTCGTATTTAGAGATTTATTGTTTGATCTTGAACATGATAATCGATAACGAGTGAGTATAAAAATGAAAATACGGAATAAATTAGAAGTATAACAGCAGAGCGTACGGATTGAAGTAGATGATTCTTTAATGGTCAGACAAACAGTAGGGAAATTGTTCTTAAATAACAAGAAAAACTTCGTAAAATATTATTACTGCATGTCATGAAATGTTTCCGATTAGATTGAGATCGTTGACAAATTTTTGAGAAGAAAACAACCATAATTTACCCAGGATACATTTTTACGGGGTCGACTGACGCGCCGTCGGCGTCGGGCCTGCTGGCTGAATATCAACGGATGCAGGATAAACATTATTACGGGCGAGATCAAAGAAGAATGATCCGATTGGAGGAAAGGAGGACTATGTATTTAATATCGAGTCGGTTTGCACTACAAACACGAATCGGATGACCCAGCGAGCGGGCATTGATCACTGGCCCGAACCCCCTCGATACCTACTACCACAGTCGTCCCTCTACAGAAAGTTTGTTTGTTAATAATTTGCATGGTATGTCATTTTCCTAAATGATTCTTTATACTATTGTTTTTTTTTTTGGAGTATATAGGTTAGTGAAGGTTCGAAAAAATGAAGATGAAATATATTTGGAAGATATTTGCACTTCTAATCGTTAGTAATCCATACGATCCTTTGAAAGCTTCATTGATTTATGTATATATATTACAATTTTTTCAAACGCATTATGCAACAAGTAAAAGAAATGGAAAGATTCCACTCTATCGATAATTATTCAAAAACTGTAATTACTGATAAGCAATAACAACTCACAGTTAATTTCTTGTATCGATTGCTGTTATTCCAGACAGTCGTACAAGCAAAATATTAAGCAGAAGATGTACTTAAATCACAATCTAGAACGTACACGTTAGAAAACTTCTTTCGCATACCATTGATAATTACAATCCAAATTCGCAACCAATTTCACAACCAAAAAGAAATAAAAAAAAATAAATAAATAAAACTAAGTATCTGTAGTTGGAATCTTGGGTCCATCCTATCGTATAATTACTGACACCTCCCCCCCTCCCCCTGTATCCACACTGTCATCACGGATCGTTGTTACACGAGGCCAGGCACAGGCTGGAGACGTAGGTACGAGGGAAAGGGGTGCGTTTCACAGTGGCGGTATCTAATACAAAACCGGTATACGTGCTGCAGAACCGGTCGCGGCCCCCGAAGAGCTCCAGAAACGTCGATTGCCAGCTATAAGTGGGGTGCCTTTGGCGAGACGAAGTGTAATTGGCTTCATAAGGGTCGACGAAAAGCGGCTGGAATATCGGCAAGCGCTGAAACCGCTTGACGAGGCCAATACTTCTCTCTTTCCTCCTCTTGCTTCGTCGTTACCCCTCTGGTTCATCCCCCCCCCCCTTCTTCCCCTATATATGTATAGTTGGATCGTACCAACTATAGACGGACTCTCTTTTCACCTCCTACCGGTTACACTTCACCTTCGTGTTCCTTTTTGCATTTCGAATATGTCCCGAAGGGGCAGAGTTACGTGTCCCAGCGCAGCAAATCACTCCGATGGTGTACGAAATCGGTCAACGCGTGGTTTTCTACGATAGGGCTACTCTAAGCCCTACGGTGTCTGGATAACGACCATCGCTGAACTGTAAAGTGAATGTGTGTAAGAGAGAGAGAGAGATCCTGGGGCTGTTGATTAATGGACAGGATTGCTTGCAACGTTTAACAGAGACGTGCGATGGAGATCGAAGCTTGAGAATAGATGTTGCTGGGAGGAAGTTTTGAGATGCTGCAAGTACGCTTGTGGTCTGGGGATTAAGGGGAGGGAGATTATTTGATGGCAGAGTTTGATGGAATTCTGGAAAGTTTCGTGAATTGCGTTACAGTTGTTCTATTTGGTTCTATTCTGCGTTTCTTATATATTGCTTCGTACATATTTTGTTTGCTGTATGTTTCTTTGTATGTGAATCTTGTTTGTTATATTTTACAATATGTACAATATCGTGTTTGAGTAGATAAATAAATGAAGTTGGATGAAATTGCTACGTTTGGAACAATTGGTCATTGAGATTTTCAATATGTGTTTATTCCTCTTCTAATGCTTCAGTAATGCTTCAATATTAAACGTAATTGTTAACAGTTATTAATATTTGACATTCTTCGTATCTTTTCCCTCTGAAAGTTCTTCAATCCTATATTGAATACCTTCTTAATGTCTCCTTATTGATGAACGGTTTTCTTGAACTGCCTGTCTGACCATCAAAGAACAATCTACTTCGATTTATACGTTCTGTTACTTCATTTTCAATTTATTATAATACATCGTTCAACTGAAGGATGACCTTTTGTGTCATTCTGTACCATCCACTTATTCTATTCTCAATAATTATATTAATATTTAATAATTATTAACAATTTATAAATACAGTATTATAATTACATACGTACACCTGAATATCATTTCTTTAAAAATTTGTCCTCTATCGAATAGTTTCCTTATATCTCCATATTCTCCTTACTGCTCGTCTGACCATAGCAGAGCAATCTACTTAAACACACGCGTTTCACTGTTACGCAATAACAACCGCTCAAAAATCGCTTTATTCTCTCTCTCTTTTAACCTTCAGTTTATCACTTTGCCCGAAAATAATAACGATTTGTTAACATTCGCCCGACCAGTCTGATCTTCTTAGAGCCGGAAGAAATCCGTGGAACGGAAAGAAAGACGGATAGCCCGATATCGAGACCGAGAGTCTCGTTTTCGTGGACTAAAAAGAGAAACCGATGCCCGAGGAGGGGAGGAGAAACGGGGTTGGTTCAGTCAGCTCGTAGAAACGGGCAGGAAGGGGTCGTTATCTGTCCGATACCGATGTACGAATAAGGTAAGGGACGAGAATTAGAAGTACGAACCCGCGGCTGAGTGCAGAGCCAGAAGAAGAACTGGATGATATAAGGGAAGCAGCGGAGGCTGGTGGAGGCGGATGGAACAGGTCGGGTGGGTTGAAAGGGGTGGCTCGTAATATCCTGGCGAGTCCGCGGGCTCCGTCATGTGTGCTTAATCACTTTCCAGTCGACTCGGCAGTCTGCAACCCCATTATCGGGGTCTCACCACCCGGAAAATTACTCTTTTATTCTCGAACAACTCGAGCTCCCGGTGTTCCGTATACGCGATATTCTCTGTCTTTCTGTCCCTCGACCCGTATATGTCCCGCCGCCCACCACGCTTCTATTTCCTTGCCTTTTCATTCTCTCTCTCTCTCTCTCTCTCTCTCCCTTCGGTCGACGACTTCGATGGTTTTCGACTATTTTTTTTTCTTCGTCCTTTTTCCCATTCTTTGTTTCTTTCTTTATTATAGAAGAGAGCAGAGGAGGATTCTGTGGTTTTGTTTGAACCGCGTGGATGGTCCAGTTGGGACTATCAGAGGGTATCGTTAACATTTACCTGGTTATAGTTATCGGCGGAAGACTGTGGGATTCGTGCGTGTCCCCAAAAGGGGGAAAACACGTTTCCTGGGGTGAACTCGGAACAAAGAAATGGTTTCTGAGACATCACAGAATTAACATAGACAGCGACGAAGTCTGTCTGACGGCTCAGGTATTGCAACTACGAGATTATTCGTAGTTGAGATGATTATCAAGTTTCTTCATGCGAAGAAAGATTTGTGCGTGTACTAAATTAGTGAACGATTTAAATATTTCAACAAATACTTGTAGTTTGTAAAATTGATTGGATATCAAGATGTATATTTTTTTGTGAATTCGAGAATTAGATTAGGGCATTGTAATGCCCTGCGTGTTGTAAAAAGCGACTAAAAGGGAAACTCATTACGCGCAAAAGATTTGTTAAAACTGTTTCTTTCCTTTATAACAAATATGCGAATTTTTATGAACAAAATCGAATAAACTAGGAGAAAGAGTCTAAAGAAACTTTCGATATTTTATGGCGCAACACTTTCTGCATTTTTGCGCTGTTAAATTTCCCATAAATGCAATACGAGTCCACAATCGCCTTGTCGACGTTAGAAATCAATGAAGCTTAACTAGTACCAGTTTTTGCTAGAAGTATCAAGGATCTTCACAGGTCCCTGAAACCAACGAAAGGATCGTTAGCAGGAATCCGTCAAAATCTCGAGGGTGGTGCGCTTCCTCGGTTCTCCCCCTCGAAATATCAGGGGGCTGTCGAAAGAATAACTTTCGCGAAAGAAGGACCTCGTTCTCAGGCTGGCGCGCGTACTCGAGCGCCGAGGTACTCGAGGTCTGCTCGCGATGAGGATACGTTCGAGTGGTATTTTAACACTCGAACGAGAGGAAAAGTGTATTTACGGTGGCGCGAAGCCGCGACACACGCGTGGAAACCCCGACAAAGATGTCAAAGTGACCGCTCGAAGCGGCAAGAAAACTGGAGAACCTACTCGTGAAGGATTACGGTGCTCGAAGAATCGCAGCCGCCGGTGAAAGAGGCCAAGTGGCTTTCCGTTCTCGTAACACGCGCGCGCAAGGGTGCCACCACCAGGGGTGACTATGATACGCCCGCTTGTCTTGTTTGACGTTCTATTATGTTCATTAATCGACTGGTTTGAT